AGCCTGGGAAAAGAAGCCAGATTCAAGTGTTTCGGATTCCTTATATGAGTGAGAAGCTTAAACTGAGCGTAGGCTGCTGCGTTTATCCTCCACCATGCCCACAGACCCGGCCGCCTACGAGCCTGCACTGCCCCACCCGCCATGTGGAGAACCAGTGCCTCCCAGTTCTCTGCTGCACAGCCATGGTCCTGCAGCAGGAAAAGGCAGGATGGCAAACGCAACTCTGGGGAGAGGGGCTCTGGACGTGGGCTCTGGGCGCATCCATGGGGGGGCGGGGGCGGGGAGGAGGTGGGCAGCCTGCCCGGCATCTAGCCAAACACTGCACACACTGGTTTCCCCATGTGTCCTATCACACGGAGAACAGGGCAGCCCAGGCGGTTCCTGAAGAGCAGCAGGGTGGAGCAGAGGCGACTCACTTGCGGATTGTGGCTTCCGAATGCTGGTCCCAGGTAAAGGAGGCCTCGGAAAACTGCACGGCTTTGTCTGTTGAGAAAAAGGCCCTTCTAACAGTGAGATGCGGCAGGTCAGTCCGACTGGTTGGGCCCTCGGCCCTCCTGGCTCTCTCTCTGCCCCTCCTGCTCCCGGGCTCACCTCTGTTAGGTGCTGGCTCATACACTAACAGGAGGGGAAAGAAAGCTCCTGGGATGAGACCAGAGGCCACCTGCACGCAAAGTCCTTTTAAATCCAGGAGTCTCAAGTGTGTTGGTAGCCCGGATTTCTGACAGATACGTGGGTAATTCCCCGGTTCTCTGCAGCCTGGTTGCTCTGAAGGATCCTGCCGCCTATGTGAATCCTCCCCTCCTGGGTTCCAGACCTGCTGTTCTCAGTGCCCATGAATGCCCCCAGTTCTTAACCTTCAGCACCTGTGTGTCCTTCCTTTCCAGGCTACCTGCCACTCCCACAGGTGCGACTCCCCAGTGACGTCTGCTTTCTGGATCCTTCGTAGGATTCCTGCTTGTCCCCAGAATAGCTGGCCCAGCCAAGCTGGTCCTCCTTAGCAATCTTGCTAAGCCATCTGCTCCAAGTGAAAGCACAAGTCACATAAAAGCTGTATGCAGGTTAGCCTGTGGCCTGGTGGCTAAGGAGGTTGGATCCCACATGACCAACTCCACAGTTCGAATCCTGGACCTGGAGGCTTGAGAAACATACCGGGCACATCCCTGTGCATGCACTAAATCCTTAGAGAAGGGAGAAATGGAGGACAAGGGATTGCAGCGTGACCATGCCCTATGGGGGTGCTTTCTCACTCTCATTCTCTCTCTTTCTCTCCAGAGACTACATGTGCCACCTGCAATTTTTTTAAGTGTTATGCTATACTTAGGCAAGTATAGGCGTAAGACAAATCCCCCTAATTCTCTCTTTTCATTGATTTGCTACTGCTAAGCTCCTGAATGCCAGAATTCTGGTGCCAGTAGTGTACGTTTGGGAAGTTACTTCCAGATTACCAAAATTGCAGTCATGGCGGATGGCAGATGTGTCCAGGTCGTCCCCTCCCAAGTACTTCTCACGCCGGTCTACGGAAACGCTGGCCTGGAGGACACAAACGAGCTCGAGATGAAGACGCTCGGTAACAAGCACACTCGGGGAGAGGTCCTGACTTAGGGGGCGCCTCCTGACCCCTCACACGGACTCGGTCACCTGGGAGCCATTCAGACAAGAGGCAGCCGATCCTCTGTTTCCACCCTGCAGAAAGCTCAGGGAACTCCACTCTACTGTCCGCTCTCTCCAGTCTTTGGCTCTAATGCCGGAAACTGCCTCCCACTGCCTCCTCCTCCTCCTCCTCCTCCTCCTCCTCTTCTTCTTTGGAAGTTTTTTTTTATTTTAAATTTTCTTCCACGAGTGAGATAGAGAGAGACAGCATCCCCATTAGGGTATTGATGCCACGATCTACTCCTAGCCTCAGCCGGCCCTGGGCCACAGGCAAGCGTGTGCCCGCATGCCCGGGGAGATCTCTGGACTCAAACTAGGAACCTTCCCACATGAATCTGCCTGTAGAGCACATGCCACCCTCTGGCCTCTCTCCTGCCTTCTTCTGAGAGAAACCTGTAACTTCTTTTATTTTTCGTGACAAAGAAAAAATCCTTTTAAAATCATTTTACTTTTAAATGATATTAGTACACCAAGTAATGACATGTAACAAGTTTTAAATTCTATCATCTATACCTTGATTTAAAGAAACTAAAAGCAGACCACGTGATTACACCAGTAGTCGTTAGTCTAACACAGCCAGAACGGACTACCTTACGGCTGGCTGCAGCCTCCCACGGTTACAGGGACGGCAACACTTACTACCGCGTCATAGAGAAAGCCCCTGACCGCTAAGAAAGCAAGGGGGTAGGAAATGGGGGGAATTACATAACCCCTTTCTTCCTTCAAAGAATTTCTTTTCTTACTGGATCTAAGGAAGACAAAGTTAACATTGAGGTAAGTGTTGCTTGAGCTAAAGGCATAGGAAAACAACAAACATCCATTAAGTTTCTAAGAAATACAAGGTAAAAAGATGAAACCGTTGGATGCGTTTTAAGTCTGCACAAAGAAGCTAGATTTGCTGCTCTCCCGAAAGGGAAGGGACCTGCTGTGTACCAGACAGAAATAATTTAATGCCTTTAGCAAGAATTGAACTGGAGCTCTACTGAGGCTTTGTATTCCACGAGGGCATCGAAGACGCCGATCCATGGGACAGGCCCTCGGTTCCTCCATCCATTTATGCGGCGGTTTTCATGCATCTCTGGCAGAATGTCGCAGGCAAAGGCCAAGAGGTTATCTAAGACTTCATCCCTGTTCTGACTGGTCAGTCTGGAGGGGGCTGGCAGGTGGCCTGGTTAAGGGCACTGAACTCCCACACGGCTGACCATGGTTCAAGTCCTGGACCTGGCAACTTCCTCTCTCACTTTCTCTCTCTCTCTCTCTAGCTCTGCCCCTCTCTGGTCAAATTAAAATAAATAAATAAATTTAAATAAAATTATTCTTTAAAAAAAAAAAAACTGAAAGAAGTATGTCTGGAGGATGGTCATTTTCTCCGGGGTCTCCTTCTTCGCTTCAGTGCTGAGATCCCAGAGCCCCAGCTTCCTCGGCCTTGAACTCATTCCCCTCTGCAAGTAGTTCTGTGCTGTGTCAGCCTGGGGTGCTCTGGCCTGCTTCTGCTTCCAGTCCTTTCACTGGTGGACCTCGGGCGCCTTCTCGGCAGCCATTGCTCTGCCTGCAGCTGCTGGATCCCTTCAGGCTGGCCAGGGAGGTGGCGACTCCCAGGGCCTGGCAAGCAGCCTAAATCGGCTAGAGGACCCCTTGGGTTGGCTGGCCTGGTGGCCCATGAACTGTGCTGGCACCCCGTGATGGCAATCCACCCCTAAAACTGCTAACTTCTATGTGGTTCTGGAACTGAGCCCCTGGCGCCCTCTTCTCCAGCTGCGTCTATGCCGTGGCGATCCATCTGGCACCCTGGCGGAGCCGCTACTGGCCTCCTGTGTAGAGGAACTGGCTCTGACCTCACGGGAACCCCGCACACATCCGCTCAGGCCACAGGCAGGGCTTAAACTGCAGCTGATCTAAGAGTCAGCAAAACATCCTATGGTCCCTCTGGAACACAGAACTTGGGAGGATTTTGAAAAGCTGCTACAGGGATGCTTCTCCCCAGGACCCTTCCAAGGGGGTTGTCATAACGTGGTTTCTCATCACCACCCAGGCTCCGATGTCTATTAGGCGTTCCTCCTGTCCCCTCCTCGGGAATGACAGCCGGCTGTAAAAAGTGGATCGCTCCACAGACAGCGTGCCCGGCTGCCCTCGTGTCATCTGACCCCTTCTGATTCGGTGGGACAAGGAACGCCAGCCTGGCCTTTGCTCTCTTGAATAAGCTGTGTAATAAACAATATCTAAAAAGAACATGCTATTTATTGACCACCCACATTTGTCAGCCTTTCGTATCCCCTAGACAAAAGCACCTTGTTCTAAGCAGCAGTCTCTCCTATGGCGTGAGCTGTCTGAACGTAGCTACTCGCATTCAGAGGGGACTTCCTGTCATCCTGGCCCCCTCGTTAGCCTGCCACCTGTCCTGCGACTTCTTGAGGTCTAGCACTTGGCTGATCTCAATCATGATACTCAGTTTTCAAAACCTAGGCACTTCTGGGTCATTCAAGACCTCCCGAAGGCCAAACTCATTTTCTTTTCTTTCTTTTTGAGAGAGATGTTTGCTATAGGACAGGTGTGCTCACCAGAGAGACAAAAAGTGAGAAAGCCCCATCCAGGAAGGATGGCCACACCGCAGTCCTTTCTTCTCCATTGTCCTCTCAGATTTCGGGCATGCACACACACGTGCCCGGCGTGAGTTTTAAGCTGCCAGGTTCGGGCCAGCAACATAACCATTACACCATCCACTCATCCCTCCAAACTCTTTTTCTGACACCTTGAGGCTCCCAAAGTGCATTTGGTTTTACCAACACGGGGTACATGCTTCTTGCTATATCAATGCCTCAAGAACCTTAGAAAACCATAGGAGAGGGACCAGCAGATGGCGTAATGGCTGGGTCACTGGACTCCCATGTAGTCGACCGCAATTCGAGTCCTGGACCCGGAGGCTTAAACTCACGCTGGGCACGTGTGCGTGTGTGTGTGTGTGCCCCCAAGATCCCGAGAGGAGAATGGAGGAGAGGGGATTGCGGTGTGGCCATCCTCCCCACCCTGGGGGGGGTGTGATATCTAGCTTTCTGTCTCTCTTTGTCTTTCTGGCGAACACACACATCCTATAGCATAAACCTGTCCAAAAGAAAAAAAGAAAACCATGGGAGAATCTGAACTAGGAGAAAGTCCTAGAAATGTTCCCAGTCCCAGGGCTGATCATAACCATCTCATTAAATGCTTTCATAAGATTGTCTCCCTGTGAGGTAGATGAGATTGGCATGATTGTCCTCATTTTAGTCCAATACACTGAGGCTCAGAGAGCTCGTAATTCCTGAGATGCCACTGGTCTCCAGAAACCAAGCCGGTCTCTCTAACAGAAAGTTCACCGGCAGAAGCTGGGCGTGAGCTACACCGAGCCAGGCACTCTGGACTGCGCGTTTGCAGTCGGAGAAGAGAGCCAGCCAGCTCGCTGGGGCCTACCTGGAGCATGGAGGAGATCACCATAGGGAGCATGCTCAGGGGAAAGCGCAGGATGTTGAAGAGCGTGATGGAGGTGAAAGCTTTCTGTGCATCCAGGATGTTGTTGCTGTCCACCAGGACGTAAACGGAAAACGTGATCACAGACACCTGGAAAGGGCGAGGCCACCAGCAGGTTATTCCTACAGGGCCCGAGCAGCCTCGCGCTACCTTTCGGGAACACAAGGTGTCGGAGTTGAAGCCACCTTAGGGTACCTGCTCCTGTTACATGTAAGTTTCCTGAGACCAGGAAAGGAGATGTCTAGCTCAAGGTCACAGTCAATTAATGGGTTGCCAGGACCAGAGTTTGGGTCTCCTGGCTTCTATGGTGTGAAGGAAAAGTATGTTCCTTCTCTCTGTGAGACCTCCCCCACCCACCCCAAGGAGACAAGAGACCCTCTGATACAAATGATTCCTGATGCAGCCTTCATACTGAACATCCGGAAAACTTGGTCTGGGCTGCCAGACCACCAACGACGTAGGGTAGAATTAGAGAGTGTGTGTGTGTGTGTGTGTGTGTGTGTTGTGGGGGCGCACAAAGTAGGAATAACAGCAGGGAGAGTTAAAGAGGGGAGCTAGGCACCCTGGATGTTGGGGTCAAGCCTACAGGTGCTGGTAGTGCACGAAGAACAGACCCTACTCTTTAGGAAGTCGCCTCAGGTCCCAGAGCACACTCAGCCCACTGGCTCCTCTGCCACTCACCAAGATTGGCGTCAAGTATAAAAAGAACATTATCAAAGCTTGCAGCCAGCCAAAGGTCAGGAGGTTCTTAAGCTCTTTCTTCCGAAGGTTGTTGACTTGGTCTTTGAATGAAGGTTCCCAGGCAAAATATTTCAGGATCTGACAGATTAGAAAAGGGCAGACGGTCACATTGTTGCCCCAGAGGGCACCAAGTGCTTCTGATCTACCCTCATATTAGAATATGTTCCTCAAAATTTGAGGGGGGGATGGAAATGCAAGTTATAAAATATGATTACAGAAAGGCAGTTTGTATTTGTTGACGACCGAATACATACAACGCATCTTATACGCATTATCTCACTTAATCCTTGTAACGACCTTAATGTGGCCAATTCTCATTCTTCCTGAGACTAAACATCGCCCAGCAGCCAGCCAGGTGGTGTGGCAGTTGAGCAGCTGGATCCCACATGGCTAGCTGTGTGGTTCAAGGCCTGGACCCGGCGACTTGCAAAACATGCCGGAAGAATAGAGGAGATGGGATTGTGATGTGGCCACTGCCCCCCACCCTGCCCTGAGGGGTGCTTTCTCACTTCCTCTCTCTGTGTTTCTCTCTGGCAAGCACAAGCGTCCTATAGGAAATTTAAAATACAATAAAATGAAATGAAGGACTACCTAGGGTACAGGGATTTCAGTGCTACATCCCCCAAAACAGTTCTGGGCAGACTAGGCCAGCTCCATAGCCGCGGTGAAGGGGGACGGATCCCACGGGGCTGCCCACAGTCTGACTCTTGTTCCTAGTGGCTTGAAGAACACACTGGGTACATGTGCCATGTGTGCTTGGAACTCTGCCAGGATGGAGAAATGGGGGTGATGGGAGTGGCATGACCACACCTCACTGGGTATGTGTGTGGGGTCCTTTCTCTCTCTCCCTCAGTCTGTTTCTGTCTCTTTCTAGCAAGCACATGCACCCTCCAGCAATTAAAAAAAGAGAAGTAGTTTTTCTTTTAGCGATATATACGAATGACCTACAAATGAAATGACAAAACATCTGAGGTTGGCTTCAAATGAATCTAGCAGTGTGAAGCAGGGAACAGGTGTATGGATGAGACCACTTGGATTATGCTGATAACTGCGGGAGCTTGGTGGTGAGACCACAAGGGTTTCTACATATTCTCTCTATTCTTGTGTATGTTAAAAAATGCCCAGGGACCAGCAAGTGGTGTGGAGGTTGAGGTGGCTAGATCCCACATGGCCCTCCACATGGTTCAAGTCCGGAACCTGGTGGCTTGAAAAGCACACTGGGCATGTCTACATGTGTGCCCCAAACCCCAAGAGAAGAATGGAGGAGATGGGATTACAGGATGGCATTCCACTCTGTGGAGTGATTTCTCATTTTCTCTCTCTACCTCCCTCTCTGTCTCTCTCTGGTGAGCATATCTGCCCTATAGCAAACTAAAAAAAAAATATTCTACAGTAAAGCCATCTCTGTGGTGTAGTGGGAGTGCATTCCTCAATGAAAGCCAGATCCCACATGGAAATCCTGGTTCAAATCCCCATCCAGTCTGCCTGAAATGTGTCAGGTACACAAGTGAGTGCCCCAAATCCAATGAGCTGGAGAACCAGGGGGAGGGGATCACAGAGTGATCCCCCCAGTGGAGGGTCTCCCTTTCTCTCTCTTTCTTCTCTTTCATGTGCTCATGCACCCACCCTATCACGAATAAAGAAAATTAAAAAAATAAATTCTACAGTAAGATGTAAACCCAAAAGCTATTTAGGGTAAATAAATAGAAGTCAAGGCTCAAAAGAGAGTCTGGGAGGGAGAGTAAGAATGAAACCAGAGATTGTGGGTACATGAATCGGGAGTCATGTGACACATAACAGGCCGAGCAGCGGGACTCCACGACTTCTACCAGCTCGGTTAAAGCCGAGAAACCCACTGCTCCGGCATCACACACACAGGGTCGCCCACGCTTGGCTTCTCACCTTAATTCCGCTGAGGATCTCATTCATGATCTTCAAACGTTTGTCTTTATTATTCATGTTTTTGAACTGCCAGGAAAAAGCAAAACAGAAACAAGATACACTTCCATGAGCAAGGGTCCAGGGTTGTGCAGACACTAGGCCTCAACAGTATCTGTGACTCACTTAGTAAGAGCCTGAGGTGCCCAGTGATGGCTTCATCTCTCCCCTCTCCGCCCACCCCTCTTCTTTCTGACCCTTGAGCACGCCAAGCTTATTTCTGCCCCACAGCTTAGCCGGAATGTACTCTTCGTTTTGCTCTGCCCTTCCCAAGGCTGCTCCTTCCCGGTCAGGCTGGTGCTGTCCAGAGCTCAGCTTCAATGTCCCTGTCTCCCAGAGGCTTTTCTTGACCTCCTGACTGCAAATAACCACCCGCTCAATGACTAGGTCCTCGCCCCGTTGAGTTCTCGCTCTGTAATACTATCGCGATCTGATGCTTTTCTTGTTTGCTTATTGCCTGTCTCTTCACCCCAAGTGGAGAGCCGTGAGGGTAGGAGCTTTGTCTACCTTACTCTGTGTTCTCAGAAAGTAAGACATGCAATAAGTATTATTAAAACAGATATTTGCAACTAACTGAACGCCACAAAAAGGATAAATAAATCATACACTCCATCGAGTCCACCCACCCACCCTGGGATTCCCCGCAGAGCTAAGGACTGTCCACAAGGAGCCCTCCCACCTGGTGGTAGCGGGGCGATGGCCAGGATTTATGCTTGCAAGTTTAGATCGCTCATGTGCCAGCTCTGCGTGGTTTATTTGGATTGCTATTATGGAAAAGTAGGGCCCCAAATCACTGTTCTGAGAGCAGCCCAGCAGACCAGGATGGAAGAATAACACGGAGGGTCTCTGGGGCAGCCCTTCTCTCTCTAGTCAAGCTCTTCCCTCTAATATGAATGAAGATAGAGTACATAAACTTAAGAATGGGCAGAAGGTGAAAAGAAAAGATGGAAAACAAAATATTTTTTGAGATGGTTAAAGTCTTCCACCAGCCTTGCCTTGCCCAAACTCTCACCAAGAATTAGGGTAGAGTAATAAAAGAAGTTTAGATTTTAAAGAAAGTATATTGGGGCCAACAGGTGGTATGGTAGTTAAAGCACTGGGCTCCCACATGGCCAAACGCAGTTCGAGTCCCAGACCTGATGGCTTTCTCTCTCTCTTTCTTTCTTTCTCTTTCTTTCTTTCTTTCTTTCTTTCTTTCTTTCTTTCTTTCTTTCTTTCTTTCTTTCTTTCTTTCTTTCTTTCTTTCTCTCTCTCTCTTTCTTTCTCTCTTTCTTTCTTTCTTTTTTCTTCTTTCTTTCTTTCTCTTTTTCTTTCTTTCTTTTCTTTCTTTCTCTCTTTCTTCTTTCTCTTTCTTTCTTATCTTCTTTCAAGAGCTGGGGCCAACAGATGGCATGGTGATTGGGGAATTGGACTCCCACATGGCCGACCATATTTTGAGTCCTGGACCTGGCAGCTTAGCTTTCTCACCCCCCACCCCCCTTTCTGTCTCTCTCTGGTGAGCACACATGCTCTATAGCAAATTTTTAAAAAATAAATGATAATAATGATAAATTTTTTGAAAAGATAATGATCAGGGCCAGCAGGAGGCATGATGGTTAAGATGCTAGACTTCTAGACGGCCAACAACAGTGGCTCAACTCTTAGGCCTGGCAACTTGCTTCCTCACCTTCCCTCTCTCTGTTTCTCTCTGGTGAGCATACGTGCCTTATAAAAACAAAGAAGAAGAAGAAGAAGAAGAAGAAGAAGAAGAAGAAGAAGAAGCAGCAGAAATTAAATAAATAATGTAAAGATAATAGTAAAAAGTAAAGTACTTCTTTAAACAACATGTAAAGGAGGTATCTGTCCCCAGGTGACTATTTACTTTACCTGAACGTCTCTGCCCTTGGTGGCCAGTACCCCATTAACTGGGATTAGGAGCACCATCAAGCCAACACCTGCCAAGATCGAGGGGCCCAGCTCTTCCCAGAGAAAGTAAATGGATAAGGCGATCTGCAGGACACTTGACCACAGCAAGTGGATGTAGTTGGTCACGTCCATGAGCTTCTGGGCGTCCACAGACATCAGGTTCACGGTCTCTCCAACGGTGTACTGCCTCCTGGCCATGTTGGACAAGGTCAGCGCCTAAAGACGGAGATTGGGACAGCACTCACGGGCAAGGCCAAGGCCAAGGGTACTTGGGAGTAGAAGGGGGAACATAGGGAGAGAGAACGCAGTGGGAGCACGGACTCCACATGGACACGACCTCTCCAACGCACTGTGACCGCTCGCCTCCAAACCTTACACCTAACGTTCTCTCATTCCCAACTGCTCTTTCCTTCTATTTCTGCCTTCCTCTAATCCCACCCACCCACTTTTTTTTTTAAGAGAGATTTTTCTAATAGGGTATGTGCACTTGCCAGACAGACAGAGACAAAGAGACAGAAAGCGGGAAATTACCCCCCAAGGGAAGGGTGGCCATGCCGCAATTCCTTCTCCATTCTCCTCTTGGGATCTTGGGCATGCATGCATATGCTCCAGGCATGAGTTTTAAGTTGCCAGGTCCGGGACTCAAACCATGGCCGACTACATGTGAGTACAACAATGCAACCATCACACCATCTGCTGGTACCAACCCATATATTCTTCACCCAGAAAATCCCTATTGATCCTTTGGTGTCAGCTTAGATGCAACTTCTGAGAAGAGTACCAAGTTTGGGTTAGATAAACCCCATGTGGACTCCCCTAACAACTGTGCCTACCATGGTTACTGGGTGTGTCTATGTCCCCACCAGGTATAAAGTGAAGACAAGGGCTACATCTACTGATTTCACACTGGAACATGTGGCACACGGCGGGGATGGAAGAAAAGGAGGAATGGATGGATGGATGGATGGATGGAGGGAAGGTGGGAGAATGGAACCACATGTATTGATCCTGACCTTGAAAACTTTTGAAGTGGCAATGTTATTTGGAAATAATCACATTTTAAAGCACAGAATAATAGAAACAGCAGAGGAAGCCCGTTAGTGACTTTATGACCTGCAAACCAGCAAAATTCAATGTCTCTCAAAGAAACAGGGACGTTTTGGAAGGTTAGCTTGATAGTCTAGTAGTTAGCTGGAGCTCTTGGGACCAGTAGATGGTGTAATGGTTACTTCGCTAGACTCCCACACTCGACAGCTTAAACTCACGCTGGGCACATGGTTGTGCTGTGTGTGCCCAAAATCCTGAGAGGAGAAGGGATTGCAGCATGGCTATCCCCCTGGGGGGTGATTTCTTGGTCTCTGTCTCAGTCTCTCTAGCAAGAGCATGCACCCTATAGCACAAATCTCTCTAATAATAATAATTCATAATAAAATGAAATGAAATGATTCTTTTTTAAAAAAAAATCTTAATTTAAAAAGGGAGGGCAGAAGGTGGCATGGTGGTTAAGGTATTAGATTCCCACATGGCTAACTGTGGTTCAAGTCCCTGACCTGGAAGCTTGCTTTCTCACCTTCCTTTTCTCTCTCTCTCTCTCTGGTCAAATCAAAAAATAATAAGAATGCACAAAATAAAATAAATAAATAATTCTTTTTTTGAAAAAAAGTTGGGCCAGCAGATGGTATGGTGGTTAAGGCACTGGACTCCCACATGGGTGGCCATGGTTCAAGTCCCAAACCTGACTACTTGCTTTCTCACTCTCCCTTTTTCCCTGTCTGTCTTTCTCTGGTCAAAATAGAAGAATAATGATAATAAATATAACTTAAAATATATAAATCTTTTTTTAAAAAGTCAGAAGGAAACTTTAAAAATACAAAAACATGCAGGACGAGTATACATGCACGCTCAATGGGATGGAGAATTGGAGGAAGAAGGATTGCAGTACGGCCATGCTCCCCTGGGGCATGCTTTCCTTCTTGCACCCTCTCTTTCTCTCTCTGGTAGTGCATGCACCCTCTAGCAATTAAAAAGAAAAATGGGGGAAGACAAATTACGCTCTAGGAATTCAAAGGATTTAACCAGACTTCTGATCTAAAGGCACTTGGATTAACAGCTAATGTCTCTCAATGAGTTAGCATATACTCAGGAAAGACGACGACACATTGGTACTTCAAGAGAGGATAGCAAAGGGAAAAAGTAGGAAACAGCCCTGAGACATCACTGTGATAGAATGTTCCAGTTGGTGGAAGCAAAAGAGAAAGAAAAGGCAATTGATTTTCTGATTTATAGAAAGTGTTATTTCCTCATGCATGCACTTTCTCCTCAAATTCACAGGCACTGATTATATCTACTTATTGGTATTTTCTCGGGGACAAATGAGACTGTATCCTGGTATTGAGAGCATAAGGAAAGTACAGTTGCCTTAGGAAGGTTAGGCCTTAAAAACAATGTATCAGAAAGAAGATGAACAAAGTCATCTTGAGGCAATGGGAACGTTCCCGAATGTGAACGGTAGTCAGAGTGAATGCATTTCCAGGAATCAGAGCTAATGTATTTACCATAAAAAAGTCAGGAGTTAACAGCTAAAGATTAGAGAAGGAGTTTACAAGGCCAAAGTTGATCTGGGGAGAGGGAGCCTATTCTAGTAGAGCATTCTAGTTTCATTGACAAAATAGCAATTTGAGATAGCGACGCTAGGTCTTGGAGCTGGGCTTCATCAAGTACTATGTTAAATGGTTAGTGGTTAGACGTTAGTAGTAAGAGGATCGCATAGACGTAACCAGGTAAATGTTAGTGGTTTTAAGAATTTGACACGTGACCAGCTTCCTTTCTGCCTTACATGCTTTCCTGAGGCGTTTCCACCTCATCCAGAGAGGTCCCCACTCAGTGTCCAGGCGGAGTGCTGAGTGTCTGCGCTCAGTGGAGGAGCGGAACGACAGGCAGGTAGGAAGGCAGAGGGACTGCAGCGGTGGGTGCTAGAGGCCGTGCGGGAGGAGGGTGGGAAATGGGGGGCGGTGACAGGGAGGGAGCCAAGGGGGAAAAGAAAGAAGCAAAACTTTCAAGGGACACAAAAATAGAAAATTATCCATTGATAACGTGCCTGGTAATATCTTTGACTGGATTAATATACAGTATATCCGTGATGGGAAAATTCATTTGGTATGCTGTCATGATAAACAGCAATAGATTGTTAAAAAAAAAAAATGAAAAAGAAGCACGGAACCAGCAGATGGCGTGATGGTTACAACACTGGACTCTCACCTGGTTGGCCATGTCTCAAGTCCCGAATCTAGCGACTTAGAACTCCCATTGGGCGCATGTGCGTGTGTGCCCAAGATCCCAAGAGGAGAATGAAGGAGAAGGGATTGCGGCGTGGCCATCTCCGAGGGGTGATTTCTTGCTTTCTGTCTCTCTCTCGGTCTCTCTGGTGAGAGCATGAGCCCCATAGCAACAATCTCTCTTAATGAAAAAAAGAGAAAGAAACAGAGAGAACAAGATCTCAGTCTCTTAGGCTAAAAGGCAGACCCTGGGCAGCTTTTCCCTGGGGTGACTCCTCTCCACTTCTGCCCCCCCGCCCCCCACTTCCTCCATCTGTGCACATACTTCTCATATTTTAAATTCCAAAGAGACCTCTAAAGGAGGCTGCATGGCTTGTCACAACCCAGCACCGAGATGGGCTTTCACTCCCACTGACTGTTCCCCCACCTTGGAATAAATGCCCGCTTATGAAAGTGATTTTCTTTGGTGACCCTGACATATTCTGCTTACCTTCTTATATACAGAAGCCATGATGATGGTTCGGGCACTCATGCCCAGCATGAAGCACATTTGAAAATAATACTGGAGGCAGATAGACTGGATGAGAGCCACAAAGAACAAGAGGAGCACATAGACATATCCAGTCCACTCATACGCGTCACGGTCATTGGCGAAGGAGATCAGCAACCTGCAGAGCAGAACAAGGAAGTGGCGTCCGTCAGGCCTCCAAGGGCTCCTCTTCCCCGAGCACTGCCAGCTCCCCTCCCCTCATGCTGTGAGAAGCTAAAGGGACCCAAATTGTCTGATGCCTTTGGAAGACCTAAGCTCCCCACTCTTGCCCATGTTCTTGCCTTTACTTGGAGATGAGCACTCCAAGCTGAGGACGCCATCGTAAAGCTCTGGCCCTGTCTTTCCCCACCCTCTGGTAAGAGGCTGTGTGGGATAGACTGATCCATCTTTAGATAATGCAAGCCTGAAAAGGAATTAGGACATGTGTCCAGCATGAGAAAAGGGCTTCCCGGAAGGTGGTTCATGCCATGGACGGCAGCAGATTGCCAACTCTTGTCCTGACTCCCCAGGACCTCCCACGAAGGCTGTGACTGTGGAGATGGAGCGAGTTCTCTCTGGGATATGCCGCCCACTTCTGGGATGTGGCTCAGCCCATAGCAGTTCCGTTAGCAAGAAGAGCCCTAAGGAGTACCCAGCCTTCCGTGATGGAAGAGAGAGGGGCTAAAGTATCTCATCTTAGATCATGAAAACTGCCTTGTGCTCTTCATGTACACACTGCTCTAGGGTGGAAGAAAACGGGTGTCTTCAACTGCGGGAATTTAACAATAAGCTCCTGCCTGCCCACACAAGGGGCAAAAAGGAAGCGGGCAGAGAAAGGACACCCCAAGGCCTGGGGACTCACTTCAGCAGCTGAGGGTTCAGAAACATGATAACATCATGCACTAGCTTCAGCAGGGACGATTTCAGGAGCACGACAAAGAACGTTTTGAAGAGGGACTTGACCAACCAGGACTTGGGAAAGTCTCCTGTGACCTTCGATGTCTTTTTTTTCTTTTTAGTTTCTTCCTAGGAATAAAACCAAGCAACAACAAAAGCGTCCACTGGGTGGCGTAGTGTAAGTTCCCGCCCTGAACAGCTCCCAAGTAGAACGCCTGGAATGTCTTTGCCTTCTTTGTTGCCCACGTGCAGTCTTCCCTCCAAACGGCCACTGCAGTTCCTTTTTCCCTTCCTAACGGAGGGCATGATCTAGTCGAGCTAAGACAACCAGATCATTACATTTGTAAAAATACCACCTAAAAATAAAGAACAGGCACTGGGTAGAGGCCTGAGGGGCTATCCTGAGACGGAAGGGCATAGACATGACAGTCCACAATTTGACACTTAGATGCCTTTTTTGTTCTTTCTTGCTTGTAGTTGCTGCGGGATGTATGGGCTGAATGGTGTGCCCACAAAAGAGCTGTCCAAGTTCTAACCCCCAGTACTGCAGAACGTGCCCTTCTTTGCAAATAGACTTTGCAGATGAAATCAAGTCAAGGAGAGATCATCAGTGTGGGTGTAAGCCCAGTGTGACTGGTGTCCCTCGTAAGAAGAGACAGACACCGAGAAGATGGCCATGTGACGACAGAGGCAGCGTCGGGAGGGAGACATCTATGAGCCAAGAGTGCCAAGGATTGCTGGCAAAGGCCAGAAGGTGGGAAAGTAGAAAAGATCCCTACAGGTTTCAAAGGGCACAGGGCTGCTGGTAACCTTCAGACCTCTGGCCATCCAAACCATGAGACAGTTTCTGCTGTTTTAAGTCATCTAGTTCATGGTGCTTTGTTCTTGCAGCCCAAGCAAACTAATACGTGGGGGCAATTCGACTCTGATCAGCCTCTTCCTCCTCCTTTACTGGCCTCCTCAGTATACCCTCCAGAGTGTCACAACACCCTGCAGTCCAGCCTCAGCCTCAGTTTCTAGGTTTGTCTGCCAGTGACATTCTCTTGTAAATTGCTGTCACTAGGATCCCATCCAGAAGTCTCGCTTGCCTGGACAACTGTCCAACTTCTCTCCTTTCTTTTGTCTTTGCCTCTCTCTGATCCATTCTCTGGACAGGAGCCCAGGTAAGCTTTGAAAAATACAAATCCAATCGCATCGCTCCTGTGCTAAACCCCTCCACTGACTTTCCATCAAAAGTCAAGTACAATTCTCAAAGGTCCACACAGCTCAGTCTCCATCCACGTCCCCAAGCTCATCTCCCTCGAAGGTCAGCCTCTCTCTAGAAGGTCCTGGATCTTCTGCCAGTTCCTTGAACAAGCCAGACATGCTCTCCTCAGCCTCATTCTCCAGCCCCCTCTGACTAAAGTTCACTTCCCACAGTCCCTCAGGTGAACAGTTCTCATTATTTTGGTCTCAGCTCAGATGCCACTTCCTCTGAGGAGCCTCTCCTATCTAAGAAGAGGCTTTTAAAAATTATTTATTTATTTAATTTAAAAAAATGTGTTATTGTTATTTTTTAATTTGACCAGAGAAAGACAGAGAGAGAGAAAGGAAAAGTGAGAAAACAAGCCACCAGCTCCGGGATCTGAACCATAGTCAGCCACGTGGGAGTCCAGCACCCTAACTGTCATGCCACCTGCTGGCCACCATGTTTTACTTTTTAAATAGCACTTACTGGGCCAGCTCTGCGACCTGGTAGTTAAGGGAGGTAGATCCCACATGGCCTACCCCACGATTGGAATCCTGGTCCCGGCAGCTTGAAAAATCACACTGGTGCCTGCACATGTGTGCCCCAAATCCCAGCAGGATGGAGAAATGGAGGAGAAAAGATTGTGGCATGACCATGCCCCATGGAGGGCTGCTACCTCCTCTCTTCTTGTGTCTCTCTGTCTCTCTGTAGCAAGCACACACACTGGCAAATAACATTAAAAACAACAAGACAACGCTTATTTCCCTCAAAGAGTAACATATATTGGTTCACTGTTCCTTTTCTAGCTCTCTTTCAAGATTGCTCCATGTACCTAGTGCCCAGAACGCTCTCTAACACGCAGTTGTGCTAAATCAATATTTTCCGGTACATGAATTAATGAATTAGCTGCTAACGCCAATCCTCACCACAGTGCAAATTCTAGCAATGCTAAAGCGCTATTATGTTTTACACATTTTATAATGGAAAATTTCCTGTCCATCCCAAAGGAGAGAGAATTGACACTATACCCCCATGTACCCGTCACTAAGGTATTATTAGTATTGTGAAAACAATCATAAAAAAAAGGCGCTAAAATAGCAAGTGCTATAAAAACGCACGGGCAGCATCACCGTGCCATCCTCCTGCCTGAGCCACTCGGCACACTCACGCGGACACTCATGGGAAAGTTACCAGGACAAGGACATCTTGGCTTTGGCTCTGGGTCTTGTTCAAGCCTTGCAACTTGGCCTCAGACTTCTGGGATTTCTTCTGCTGCCGTTTCTGGAATGCCCGCCTGGCCTTCTGCAGCTCTTTTGCCATGTGCGCTTCGAATTTCGTCACCATTGTCTTGGTTTTTACCCCTTCATCGATATCCCAGACATCTTCGAGTGTCAGAGGGTGCTTGTAGCCTTTCAGGACGGTACTGGAACGAGAGTGACCGGCCAGCTGAGAGCCTACAGGCAAGGACAGAGGCTGTCTCCTTGGAGCCTCTGCCAAGACCTGCCTCCTGGCTCTGAGATGGAAAGGCAGAGGAAGGGACCTTAACCTTAACCTGTGCTCCGTACCCCTGTCTCCTTCCTGGGCCTTTGAACTTGACAGAGAAGAATCCCGGCTCTGAGATGGAAAGACAGAGGAAGGGACCTTAACCTTAACCTTAACCTGTGCTCCGTATCCCTGTCTCCTTCCTGGGCCTTTGAACTTGACAGAGAAGAAGGGAGAGCAGAAGAGGAAGTGAGTAGAGGCAACAAAATATTAGAAGACAACAAGAAGGGGGGTGGTGCTGACTGAGTCAAAAGAACATCCTCTCCCTCCACTCCTCTTTCCTCCTCAAACACTGGCTGCCTCTCTGCCACTCTGGCATCTCCTTAGGGATCCTCCCTGACACCCTGAAGAAACAGAGCAGAGCGGCCAGCAGGTGGCGTAGTGGTTAAGGCACTGGACTCCCGCATGGCTGATCATGGTGTGAATCCCGGACCCGGTAGCTTGAAAATCATACCAGGCACATGTGCACGGGTGCCCAAAATCCCAGGAGGAGAATGGAAGACAAGGGACTGCAGCGTCACCACTGCCCCCACAGGGGGAGATTGCTCACTTTCCCTCTCACTGTCTCTCTCTAGCGAGAGCATGCACCCTATGGCAAAGACCTTAAAAAAGAAAGAAAAAAATGCCAAGTGCACGTTCACGTCTGCCCAAAATCCAGAAAGAAGAATGAAGGAGGTGAGATGTGGCGTGGCCATCCTCCCTAAGGGGTGATTTCTCCCTTTCCCTCTCTCTGTCTCTCCTGTGAGTGCATGTGCCCTATGGCAAAAATCAAACAAAAACAAAGAATATCGGGACCAGAAGTTAGCGTAATGGCTATGTCGCTGGACTCCCATGTAGTTGACCGCGGTTTGAGTTCCAGACTCGGTGGCTTAAACTCACACTGGGTGTGTGTGCGTGCGTGCCCAGGATCCTAAGAGGAGAATGGAGGAGAAGGGATTGTGGC